AAAAAGACATATGGATACGAGAAAAGAGTAACTCTCCATCACTGTAACATGATACTATATACAGTCAGAAAGTGCAATAACTAGGCACAAAACTGACAGAGTACTGAAACATTCGACGTCCTGACACCTAGCTATAAAAAAATATAATAAAATATATAATAAAAAATATGAAGTTGATTGTTCCAACTAGGAACACACGCTTCTTGCCGAACTTCATGACTATTACCGCCGAAGTCGCAACTTCTAAGTTAATAAAAAATATATAATAAATATATAATAAAAGAAAAATATATTATATATTTCCATGAGAGTGTGATGCATGAATGATGAGAGAGGAGAGATAGATTCGAGATAGAGATAGATAGAGAGAGAGAGAGAGAGATAGAGAGAGACTGCTTTATTGCCTGGACAAGTGAACTGTCCAAGCTCTTACAAAATGACCAACAACAACAGCAACGGCAACAACAATAGCGACAGCGACAACAACAGACCAACAACAGCAATGGCAACACCACAGCAGCAGCACAGCTGAAGACACGACGTCGCTGCCGTCACTAGCCCCAGACTCAGAATTTATCTCAGGTGACAACTCCTCATCTTCCGACTCTGACAACCTCTAAGGGTCGTTTTCGCTGATTGCGGCTCATATTTTCTTGTGTGACTGGAATGCAGTCATCAGTGCTCCACAGCGTATGGACAGTGTGCCTCACAATAACGTTATCAATAGCAGGTGTGATAGTATGATGTACAATGCAGGTATCATCTTTCACCTGAAGCAATAGTGGTGTTGTGCTCGGCGATACGTGAGCGCCGGCACTAAGAATCACAGCGACACTCTTCAGGTTCGTGTAATGTAAAAGAAACATGTTCTGGTCTAGTGTAACATGGAAAAAAACATAGACCAGAACTCAGATGGTGAGCCAAGGAAAAGATTGTATTTAAACATGGAAAAAATAACTTTTGCCCGAGAGTTATTTGTTCCATTTTTAAATACAGTTTTTCCTTGGCTCACCATCTGAGTTCTGGTCTATGTTTTTTTTCACTCTGCTCCATTTTTTTATCCACATACCAAACATGCATGAAGCTTACCAGAAAAAGTACCGAATTCTGCCAATTTTTCTTCCGGACCCTACCACGAATTGGTTCCAGATCTTCCGAAGAATATGGAACCGTGCCACGGAGGAAAGACCCGCAAACATAAATGGAGCTGGATCAACTTGAAAGTAGATCCAAAAAGTCAACCTTTAGTATTACTAGGCCCTGTCTGGTTTGGAATAGTTTAAAGATTTTTCAACCTGCATAGCTCTAGAGATTCATTAAACCAATAGGAGCCTACCTGCAAGATGGCCCATGGTCGCCATCCTTGATTCCTTGAACACAGCAGACCCGCAAGAGTGGGGAAGAAACCCTGCGGTACCACAGAGAGCAACAAATACACATGCCGAAAGAAGTTGTATTCCTCGCGAAATATTTTCTGTTGCAAATATGGCATCTGGTGTGTTCTTTATTGTCGCTTCTTTTCCTGACTTCTTCGGTCAGTTTTGGATCTCACCAGTGTCCCTGCCCTCCCACCCTTCATTTCTGTGCATATTATCGTTGCTTTTTATCAATGTTTGCCGTGATGTGCTTGCCATGCCTACATGATGCCTAATCGCCATTGGGGATATACACCCGGTTTTTTCCCTCACAACTGCGTCCGTCGGCGCGAGGGTTTTTTCCCGGCTGGCTCGGCCCAGGAAAATTAACCTGACGGTCCCAAGTGGTTCTGCATCATGGCCTATTTCTGCTATCCACTGGCACGCCTATTCTATCTGAGACACTCTGTTCTCAGTCCTTGCTTCTATACGTCACTCGTTATCCGGTTCACATCTGGCTGCGGCCAACTACCCTTCACTTTGTGTGTTGCCGCTATTGCTGTCTATGTCTCTGTGCATGCCAGTATATGTGGAGCGAGAAGTCACGGATGGAGAAGTAGTCAAATTTCGAACTCTCTTACAGCCATGCACTAGCCAAACGCAACCGCGTGGCAGGAAAGCACGCACTCAGCGCCTCCATATGCTTTTTCGCTGCGCCACCAGCACTGAGACATCATGGTAGTAACTCCTGCCATCGGAGAAACTCTCATGATGCTGCCATGAACCGTCACTTGCTGAACAGCAGCTCAACATGAGGAGAAAGAGAAACTGGTCACACAACAACAAATCACCACGGACTGCAACAGTGGCGCAAGATGGCCCAGAAAGGTCTCGTGTACTGCGCACCTAGTGCACCTGAAACTCACATGTGCACCCATGTCTCGTCCCCAAGTGGTTTTAGTGGAAATCTTTATCCAAGACCACTTGTTGGCACTTGAGGGCATGTTGTATCACACAATGGTTTACTTCACTTAGTCAAAGGATCAGTCCCGGAAGTGAACTGCCTGAAAAGAGAAAGAAAGTGCCAGACCCACCAGGACCAGGACCTTGGTTGCCATCAACAATACTCCCACCATCCGAGCTTATGGGACCACGCCGCACCCAGAAGGCTCTGACAAGTGTGTTTATTTTTCATTTCAAAGGCAGCTCACGACACGTGCCACCCACATTGATGGCAGTTAGGCCTTTTTTCCCTTGAGTCCTGGTGGGTCTGGCATTTTTTCTTCTCTTTTCATGCAGTTCACTTCCTCGACTGATCCTTTAACAAAGTGAAGTAATGATATCAATGAATAATATTAGTTTCGCGGTCATGGCACACAACAAAGAAGTCTCAAAAGAGGTCTATCAAAATCGATTTTCTTATCACTCTCATCAGTGGATTTTCGTGACTGAAGAATAATAGTGTATAGCAGAGCAATAAATGATTATTGGAATGATACAATTATTCAAAAAGTGCTAAAAAATGAGCCATGACCGCAGAACTAATATTATTCATTGCTATCGTTAAATTATTGTCTCCACGTCGCCTAAAGTGAGGAAATATAATATAATCTCTATGGAAGTTAACTCCGTGGCCAAAGTCGCTTGTATGTCATTGGTCTTGTAGCACGTGAGCACTCGCGAATTCAAATAACGAAACCAATATGTACAGAAACGCTCTACTTGTAAACTAAATCACACGACTCTCACCGTCCTTGCACCGGTTAGTAGCCATGTGACAACCAAGCAATGCAGTTTGAACCGACGGACAAGTACGACTAAGACATTGAGATGGAGAGTAATTATATAAGTGAGGTAGAAACTGACCTGGTTGAGGGGGACACTTGAAGTACTTCACAGATACGCACCGGGATAAAAACGTCATCGAGAGGAATTGACAGATGGCAGTTAAGCTAGGAAAACTGAATTACCAGTGTGTAGGAACTGAGTAACAATCACCGGTGTTTAGTACACTGCTAAGAACGGTCTTTGGGAAATGGCACTCACCGAATTACGAAACAAACGAAACAGAAACAGACTGCCCTTCTGCCTGCAATAAACTCTCTGCCGTTGCTTCTGTTGTTGAATTCTCGACCTCAATACTTCTCTGTGCTTTCTTCAGCCCGTATTTGGCAGAGACACTGGCATGGCTCGTGAACATTGCGGAAATCTCGTGCCCACTTTGGTCTTCTACAGTATGAGCACTCGTGTGTACGTGCACACGCCCATTTAAGTCTGCATCCAAGGTGAGCATTCCATAACGGGTGGTAGTCTCATTCCAAACGCGCTAGTGAGCGTATCTAAGGAGCTTATAGTTACACCTTCTTGCTACTAAGCACAACAGGTATCACTACATTGCACTGCCATGCATGCTCGCAGAGTGGAAATATGATCATGTTTTTCGATTTTGACAGCATGTTACAAGGCGAGGACGCGTAGTGCTCCTGACTACACACATAGCCCGGTTGGCAGAGTCCCGGTCTTGCGACCATTCGCCTTGTAACATGCTGTCAAAATCGAAAAACATGATAAACTACCAAGCAAGACTTCTGTGTATATAAATACAAGTACGATCTCGAAAGAACCTGGCAGATACAATGACTGAGGCGTCACGTTATAGCGCCATAATATAAGCGCCAACGAAAATACACTTGAGACTCTACAGTGAGAGGAAAAAAGACTTGGCACATAATGCCGTAGAACCTACTACAGTCCATTCATAAAAAGATGGGTCCTGGCTCTGGCGAGCTCCCGTATTTGGCGATTTTTCGTGATTTCATCGTACACAGTGCAGTGCTGCGAACTTTGAAATTTGAAAAAGGGTCCAAAAAGGGTGCCTGAACTGGGGTTCGAACCGCAGAATGCACTGTTGCAGGCGGGGTCAAACGGCCTGGATTTTGATGGTTTTTCCCAATTCAGTGCTTTTGGGGCAAAACCTGGCCGAAATCCTATTCTTGCTATGGCTTGCTTTTTGGACAAAAAAACTTCAGAAACATAATTGGAAGAGGATTCCATATGGGATTGCAGGAAAAAATTCTAAAAAAACTCAACGTTTCACCCATTTATGGCCAAAAGCTAGAAGTTCATTTTTTTCTGAATGGACTGTAGTATTCCATTTTTTTACGGTTCACGTGAGACTCAGCTGGAGACCGAGTTTTGCGCATACGCATGAACGCCACTGCACCACCCTCTAGGAACAAAGCGCAGGAACGCCACTGCACCACCCTCTAGGATCAAAGCGCAGGAACGCCACCACCCTCTAGGATCAAAGCGCATGAACGCCACCACCCTCTAGGATCAAAGCGCATGAACGCCACTGCACCACCCTCTCAGACCCTCTAGGATCAAAGCGCAGGAACGCCACTGCACCACCCTCTAGGATCAAAGCGCAGGAACGCCACTGCACCACCCTCTAGGATCAAAGCGCAGCTGGAACTCCTAAAGCGATGGAAGGTGATGGTTGGTTGTGTTTATTTGAATTCGCAAACCAAATGGACTAGTAGACTGACTAATTATTCACTTGTCCTGTCTTTCTAAATAACATGGTATTGCACATGTTCTTGGTTTAGTTTTTGGTCTTTTTCGTGCTTTGGAGTTAATAACATTTTCCTCATCAGGTATGCTAGCTTCTGAGCAAAAAAACAAACAAAAAAAACTAGTAATATACAGTATTGACATATCCGCGGCAAGCCGCTTATGTACAACGGCATGGGAGAGGATAACAAAAAATGAAAATATATTATTGTTGGGGACATCCACGCTATTATCGAATATTCAACAATGACGGGTGTGGGGTTATACTAAATTCCCATAATGTGGAAGTACGATATTATTGTTGAAAGCACTAGGTGATCTGCACTCTACAATGTGACCTGTGCGATTATATCGTTTTAAGTAATTGCCTGTTCCGAGCCACCAAACGCAGTGTCTCCAGGTCCTTCAGACTCCGGAGACGCATGGACGTTGCCTTGGCTAATTCGTTGTCTATCACCACTGGTAGGGTGATGCGCGAGCGTCCGAGCCAGCCCCGATTCTGTCGCTGGAAATACGCTGTCATGCTCACCTGCGCTGGAGTTGCTTCAGGGAGGCGTAGAATATGACCAAACCGTTTCCATCGTGGTCTTCTGCTTAGTATGGATATTGGCTCGACATTGCAGCGGGTATATACTAATAGGTCTGTGTTGGAGATAATTTCCGGGTAAGATATCCCTAATAGACGGCGGAGCTGCTTTCTGTGGAACGCATCCATTGCTGTATCATCCCGGGATGAAAGCACCCACACGCCACAGTTGTAGGTCAAAATAGATAGCACAAATGCATCAAACAACCTCAGGCGGGTTGCTTCAGAGATAACTTGTCTCCGCATCCACAGGCTGACAAGTGTGTTGAAGGCAGATGCGGCTTGCTGGCGCCGGCGTTTGAGGTCTTCTGTTACTCCGTACAGTGAACCAAGCAACCGGGTGGACCTCCATCGTTCCTCACCTCTTCTTGCAACATCCTCTTCTTGGTATAGATGGGTCCACTTGGTCTTGGTAGGGTTGATGTTGAGGTTCCACTCTTTGAACACTATCTCTGCCTCTGTTAGTGCGCACGCTAGATGTTGACGGTCCGTGGAGTACAGGTTACCGTCGTCCATGTATGCTGTTTCGCAAGGTATGGACAACGAATGGACTGAACATGTCCAATGACAAGGAAGCTAATGAGGTCCAAGTAACCCAGGAATGGGAAAACTTAGAAATGAGACACAGATGAAAAGAAAATATGGGAAAAGAAAGCTCTTAGCAAAAGAAAAAAGAAAGAAAAAAGAAATTAAGGAGGCACACACTTCCCCAACTATCGCCGAAGTCGCACCGACCTCTTCTTCACATTGTTGTCCCCAGCGCGGGCTTGCGAATTAGATAGTTTGGAGGCAACAACGTTGTGAGTGGCCATCGGTCCTCAGCGCTTGTTCAGCACCTCCATGAGCGAAACTGACTCACGCTGCTGTCTGGTGTGCACGAGGTGTTTGTCGCGCTAGAAGCGGAGCATCTCTGCAAATTCGTATCCCTGGTGATGTATTGTCCCTGGAGAGCACATAAGTGGTGCTCTTCAGGCACAATCTTCCTCAGCCTACTCAAGCACAACTCATGAGGGGTGAATTCCCTGAAACACTGTGTATTGATCAGGGAGTGGTGCATTCTTGCAGATTTGCCGGGTGGACGGTTCGATGGACTTCACCTTTGCTATGGATGGCAGTCGTGAGTCAGTCAAGTGAGAATTCAAGTCGGCGGGAAAACCGCGAGCTCCCGGTTACGGAGCAACACACACATTCCCAAATATCGCCGAAGTCGCACCGACCTCTTCTTCACATTGTTGTCCCCAGCGCGGGCTTGCGAATTAGATAGTTTGGAGGCAACAACGTTGTAAATGGCCAACGGTCCTCAGCACTTGTTCAGCACCTTCATGAGCGACACTGACTCACGCTGCTATCTGGTGTTCACGAGCTGTGTGTCGCGCTAGAAACGGAGCGTCTCTGGAAGTTTGTATCCTGGTGATGATAGTGCCTGGAGAGCACTATATAAGTGGTGCTCTTCAGGTACAATATTCCTCAGCCTACTCAAGCTCAACTGGTGAGGGGTGAATTCCCCGAAACACTGTGTATTGAGCAGGGAGTGGTGCTTTCTTGCAAGTTTGCCGAGTGGACGGTTCGATGGACTTCTCGTGTGCTCTGGATGGCAGTCGTGAGTCAGTCAAGTGAGAATTCAAATCTGCAGGAAATTCGCCAGCTCTCATGTAGGGAGGAACACACACTTCTCCAAAGGAGAAAAAGAAGAAAAAATAAAAGATAAATAGTGGTCACGGCGAGAAAAAAGCTCTTGGCAAAAGAGAAAAGAGAGGAGAAAACGAGGAGATAAATTGTGGTCACGGCCAAAGCCCTAGTAGCGGCAGGACACTGTAGACACGCACACGTACACGTACACGTACACGTACACGTGCATGTGCTTACATATCACAAAAACAAAAACAGGAACAAGCATATCTCTTATTGGCGATGGTGCCATCGTGAGAATAAAGAATTCAAAATTCAAAAGCATGCATGAAGCATGGGGCATGCCTGCCCAGAAGCGGGAGACACCGACCGGAAGAGAGAATTAGATAAGACCCACCACAAAGTGGTCAAAGACCAACAAAATCCCATTGACTGCGTCCATGTTGCCGTCATGCCAGGCAACGAGTTCCCAATGAAATAACTGTGGGTCACAAAACGGCTGGACAACGTCCTTCCCCTACCAAGCAGGACCTGAACCTAGTACCCTAAGTTTCTCAGTTATGGTCTCCCACGTGCCTGCCTGCTCTTGTTCCAAGGTCCAAGTAAAAATTAATAATGTAGTTTTTCAATGTACGAGCGGAATATTATGGTTGATAGATCGTTTGGTGTGTGTACAATAATATTATGTGAAATCACCAGGCACCAGCCCTGTGCTCGCCCAGCTTCTGACCCCGGCACAAGGCACCCCTACCCGCCATCAGCAGTCAAATGGCCTACTAAGCCAGGCAAACCGTAGCCGCCGCGGTCAGCGGAGATTTTCTGTTGCTGGTGCTCTGCTGTGGAACGCTCTCCCTGGTGAGGTCCGCACAATTACCCGGCTACCTGAGTTTAAGCATGCATGTGTACCATACGCCTGTAGGGAGTAGTTCGAGTTGCTGCTGATCGCTCTGCTCTCCCTCCCTGTGCAGTTCAGTAACCCGCACGTAGTATCACAGATACATCGTATTCTCTCTCTCCCCCCCCCCGTTTACCCGCAGATATTAGTATCCTATTCTCTTACTATGTGCTTCCATAGCTTTTACTATGTTCTTCCATAGCCACTTCTAGGCTAAGCCTTCGCCGTCATTTTATTGGGTCGTCATCCCGTTTGAATGTGCGAAGTGAAATAAAAACCAACCAACCAAATAACTTTTTAGTGATGCTTCGCTGTTAACCTGGTTACGGTGAGACACGCGTTCTGTGCCTGGTCTGTCGGGTAGAATGCAATTCCAGTATGCGAATGGTCTTTCGATGAGACGACATTCGTAGAAGTTGTTTTCAGTGAACAGTCGGTATCCCTGTCTATAATAACCTATTGAGCTCTTGTTTAAAATGCTCTAGGCGGGAGGTAAGCCAAAATATCCTCCTTGGCCTTCTCACATATCGCAGACTGGACGTGACGAAGGCTCAGCGAACGCCGATACTGTAATGTGTTCAGCAAGCCCGAACAGAATCCTTTTCAGACCTTGGTGGCCACTGTGGGCATGGTCGGCGACTGCCTATTGCTGGAAAAGTATGATTGCTCTGTGCGCTCTAGAAACGTTAAAGCTACTTGGCACGGGCCTGTGAAGCACAGTGCTGGCAACTGAAATTCGACCCCCTAGCGGTGCGTCCACGTTCTATCGGTCTCTGTTTCATAGTTTTACTATCCCGTGTTGGGTCTTTGCGATGTGAGCGCACCGCTCAGGGGGTCGGATTTCAGCTGACAGCGCTGTGCATGTGGCTGGGTGTTTCGCTGCGTGACGTCACTTGGTACGAGGGGTCGCGCTTGGTTGGTAGCGAGCTGCATCCAGAAACTTTTTTTTAAATTTCGGCCAGTCGGCTACTATCATTTCGTCTTGGGGGTTAGACAAGGGGGAGTAGCCATGTCGGGGCGTGAGCCCGCCTTTCGGCACTGAGAATAGGCGAGTGCACGCCAGACAGCATCGCTTCTGTCGCTGAAACGTTTATGTGGACACATGTTGGCCAGGTCATCCACACCGCTGATTATATTGTGCTGGGGATGTGAACGATGCTTTCACGCTTCCACTTTGGTCCTTGAACATCCACGTCAGAATGAATTGCGCAGAGGAAAACCACAGGTCAGAAACACATTTCCCATGTATTGCACTTGTCTGTAATGTAGATTTCTACAAGTACATGGCATATTTTGTCTCTCACCCTCTACCATATTTGTCTGTCACCCTCTACCTTGAGTACTGTGGGGTAGTATTTGCCGACACGAGCAAAGCATTACATTTTGACCGAGTGAACCATCACGGCCTAATCAATGAACTGCAGAACGTGGGTATAGCTGGCACCGCCCTTGCATGGTTTGCAAGCTACGTAATAAACCACAGCGTTCGGAGAGTTCGAGTAGGACATCCACTCGGTGATGCCCGTGCATGCACAAGAGGCGTCCCTCAAGGCTCCGTTCTTGGGCCACTGCTCTTTTGTATATACATCCGCGATGCACCACAATGCTTCAGGCATTCGTCTAACAAACTCTCCGCAGATTATAATAACCTTCCATATCCGTAGCCATTCGTGTCAAACAGTAACGACTCGACTGAGTGAGGACCTGGCTGCGCTCGATGGCTATCTTGAAAGGAAAGGACTTTTAATGAATCCATCTGTTGAGTCACAAAAGGACTCACCAATATTTAGGCTCCAGCGGATTATGCTCGCGAAATCATGGAATTATGCTTTCAAGGATTCTCGCATTATTCTCGTAAAATCCTCATATTATGCTTTGGCACGCGGAGATATATATTCACTTTGTTGTACTTATGGAGCCTCAAAGTTTGGTAAATTGTGCTTTTTTCGTACTTGCAAGTTGCAAGTGGCCATAAGTACAACAATATACAGGAGTATCCCCATATCAAGGTGTCCATGCATGTTAGAGATCAACATGGAAAAGAGAAAACATTACTTCTTCTATTCATCTTCACTAGTTCTATTCATCACTTGATTTCTTTTGTACTTCAGTAAAAATATTATTTCATTGCCAAAATAGCGTGAGTTACCTTTGAAAATTATCATGTTCAACTCACGGTCTTCGTAATCATCATACTCGTCCAACGGATGTCACCCTCACCCTGCGAATAATCAGCTCATCTCTCGTAGCTCAACTTCAAGTCTCCTTCCATCATGACCGAACATCAACTATATATTAATTTCGAGCAATATCGATAGCCTGCAGTCATATCATGACTGCTAAAATCCAGAGGTCATGACTTCGTAACATGCATAATGTACGAATGTAATGTACATGTACATGTAAACGGAGTTTTGCGGACTACCCGCCACTATCTCGTCCGCCCCGTGATACCTGATGAAGGCTGATTCACTCGCATCTTCTGCTACATGTACTGTGTCAGTGTGAGAAAGAACTTTGAAGAAGACGAGTTCGAGCATACAATACTGTACTCGTGCTGTATTGCCATGATTTCTTCCCTGCTTTTCATTGAAAACACTATCTGCATGACCTCCGAACCGTTTACCATGCAGACCACCAGCACTGATAAGGTGCATTGTTCACAATTGTGTAGCCTACCGCGTTAGCGATTCGTGCGAGACGCTAGGGGGGGGGGGGGGCGGATTTCAGTTGCCAGCACTGAACTTGGCCAATGAAACACTCCCCCATATACTCTCAACTGGTATGCGTATGCACCTCAAGCCAGCAGAGGTGACAGGTCCAACACTAACGTTACACCATCAACCACACCCACTCATGCACACACACACACACACACACACACACACACACACACACACACACACACACACACACACACACACACACACATACGCACTCATGCACTCACGCACACACGCACACACGCACATACACACACACACACACCACGCACACCACACACACACACACACACACACACACACACACACACACACACACACACACACACACACACACACACACACACACACACACACACACCTTGACCTTTGACAGAGGTGACAGGTCCAACACTAACGTTACACCATCAACCACACCCACTCATGCACACACACACACACACACACACACACACACACACACACACACACACACACACACATACGCACTCATGCACTCACGCACACACGCACACACGCACACCCACACACACCCCACACACCACACACACACAAACACACACTTGTACTTGTTGCACACTGCCAAAACTGGTCAATTGGGTCTCCCCGGGAGAGGGAAGAGAGACTCAAAAGGAATCCTGGAAAGATGACTCAACTGGCTATTGAACCGGCCAACGGCCGACACCCCCTGAAATCCCCCAAACTCTGGGTGGACTTGAAAATGATCCCACTTATGGGCTCACCACACCTCAGTAAGTGGGTGAGGACAAGGTGCAGAAAAAGGACTGACGACGTACACACACACACACACACACACACACACACACACACACACACACACACACACACACACACACACACACACACACACACACACACACACACACACACACACACACAGTGCTACTCGGAGTTCAATGACCGTCTTTATTCGTAGCCATTCACGAGAGAATGAGAACAGAAAGTACATTCTGTGCACTGTAGGAAGTGCAAATCTACAGAGAGCGTAGCAGAGTTAGAGGACAAAAACAAGATAATCTACACAAAATAATTCACACACAAAATAATTCACACACAAAATAATTCACACACAAAAGACACAACGGAGGTCTACAGATTTGGTTTTTGCTCAATGCAATCATCAGGCGACTTATAGTACTCCACGTTATTGTGTTCATCCCTCTCCGCTGGCAGAATGAAGTTTTCCTCCTTGTACAACACATGTTAGGGATGCTTAGGGTGTAGCAAGGTAGGACCAACTTGCTCATTGAAAATTAGCAAGAAAATTAGCAAGGTAACCGGGAACAACAGGAGGCGCAGGCTCACCTAGATAATGGAGGCACACGCGTGTACGCACACACATACGGCCACACACACACATACACACACACATGCGACACACGCACACATGAAACACGCAGTGCAAAGAATCAGCCAACAGCATGTCACAAGCCCCTCATGTCATTGATGTAGAATTTGATTAGGGGTGTCATCGGGTAGTAGAGTGCTCATGCTAGCCGTAATTCGAGTGGGTATCCGGGTAGTAGTTGAAATACTGCATTTTCAACTGTATAAGAAACATGGCTGCATGTCCACTGTACACTGTCTTTGCAGCGCAAGCGCCCACTCGTTGTACACACTACTAATATGTCAAATTCCCGATAGCAATACCCGAACTCGTTACCCGACCAAACTCCTACCCGTTTCAACCCAATTTAGATTACTTGCAGTATCAGCCCGCATGTGTAGGCTGCTGCGCGAGGAGATAAAACGCTTTGAATAGAATGAAGGCTGCATGCATAACGTTGATCTTACGAGTATATCCGAAATTCAATAACGCGTTCTTTCTGATTGCTCCAGTCAGGTTCAAACTAGTGCCATGCAGACATAAAAAAGAGCTTGAAAATATAAGTATATCCCTTATCTTCTCTGGGTATGTTACTTTTACTGATGAATGAGGTTTCAAAGCATTTTAGTCGCATATCGTACAGGGATTCGGAAAAGCGTTGTATGTCCTCGCGCAGCAGCGTACACATGCTGGCTGATACTGCTAGTTTTAAAAATCTTTAATGGCAATTTTCATTTGTTGAACGAGTTGGAAAGGGAAAGTCTGTAAAACAATTTACTGTCACCACCAGGACCCAAACCGGGGACCTTCGTTTGAGGCCAGCGATGCTCTTACCACTGAGCTATGGTGCAGCTTTCTTCCAAGCAGAGACCGTTCAACATTCACAAAACTCACACCTCCTGTGACACTACACAGGCTGCTGCGAATTTCCGCTTTTCACAGTATAGGGGTTTGAAAAAGTTTCAAAGGGTCCCGACATGGAAACGAGGGTATACATAAAGTAGGATTCAGGGAACACTAACAATATGTTTGAATTAGGTGTGTGCCTTCATGATTCTTCAAGCCCTAAGAATTTGACAAAATTGGGCTGAAAACGGTTCGGGCATCTGGACTTTTCTTCAGCATAGTCCTGACCTACCATATTGCCAACCCTAATACTCACAACAAGTTTCATAACTTACGTTCACACTTAAAGCCAATATCCGAGTTGACACAGACTGGATATATGAAATTGCAAGTCTCTTCTACCGCCACGCAACGATTGATGCCTGAAAAACAAGGAAATGAGGAGCGGACAACAGTGTCGGTCGTTGAGTGGTTCAATCCCCGAGTCATCTTTCCAAGATTCGTTTTGAGTCTATCTCTCTTGTGCTGGGGAGACCCACGTGACCCGTTTTGGCAGTGAGCAACAAGTACAAGTACAAGTAAGTGTGTGTGTGTGTGTGTGTGTGTGTCGGTGCATGCATGCGTGCGCGCGCGTGCATTTGTGTGTGTGTGTGTGTGTGTGTGTGTGTGTGTGTGTGTGTGTGTGTGTGTGTGTGTGTGTGTGTGTGTGTGTCGGTGCGTGCATGCGTGCGCGCGCGCGTGCGTGCATGTGTGTGTGTGTGTGAAAAAATGGAAAATGAAAAAAAGGGATTCACTGGCCAGAAAAAGTCACTACCAGCTGTGTGGTGGACACCAGGCTACAAATAGTGGCAGTCAATTCATCAGCCTTGCAAGCTGTTGAATGGTGTAATCCCAGCACAAGTTGCTATGTCTAACGTAGCTGTTCGCTATCATCGCTTCCGCGATGGGCAGGTCTGAGATCTGAGCATAGATCCCGCGAAAGGGATTTTGGTGTTTGACCATTTTGGTGGTGGGCCTGATCTACGCAACTCGCACCGGTTTAGGAGCTGCATCTGCGGATTGATCCTTGAGGGTGGTGGCGCACCTAGTGAAGCGCAAATTTTGGTCTCCACCCGAGTCTCAAACAAAAAATGAATTATTTATATAATTATAACTCGGATGTTGAGCCAATAATAAATGTAGAAAGGAAGAGGACATAATTATGGATACGAGTTAAGAGTAACTCTCCATCACTGTAACCAGATACTATAATTATACAGTCAGAAAGTGCAACAAATAGACACGAAGCTGACAAAGTACTGATACATTTGACGTCCTGACACCTAGCTTCAACACATCTCCATAGCGCTAACAGACAGCCTTCCAACTCGGAAGGTTCAAGGTTAT